ACGAACGTGATTTTAAAAGATCATATTAATAAATAAAACATCATAGCTCTGTTTTGAATGATAACATAGCTTTACTATGGACCACCACGACTCTTGTCAAATTCCTACAAAATATAAAACTTTAAATTATTAGAATGATAAATAACTCAATTATAAATAATAAAAATGCAGTATTTACCTGGAGTAATTGTGAAAGAGATGACTCATTATGTAAGTTTCGAGTGGTAGTAGCAACAGATAACTGGGTATCTAGAGTATCAGTAGAGTCCTGAAGCAGTTATCAATTTTTTTCAAATAATTAGTATATATATAAAGTCACATTTCGATGAAAATTGGACATAAACTAAAACGAAAAATGATATACCTGAAATGATAATTGTTTCTTTGCTGTAGCATGACTTGATGATTTTGATGTACGCCGATTTTTCGTTTCAAGAACACCCAGATATCGACCATGGAGTCCAACTTTTTTGTTCTTCGGTCGTCCAACGGGAGCTTTTCGTTTTATTCCACGTGCATTTGGAACTTCCTTGTCTTCTTCTTCTTCTTCTTCTTCTTCTTCTACAAGTGCAACATCTGAACTTCGGGGCATCCATGCATTAGCTTTCACAAGTTCCTTTTTTTTTCCCTCCAATTTCTTAAGCAAGTGAAAGGCATCTTCATTTGCACACAACCACTTTTCTGAAGGTAGCAAGTCATATGAGCATTACAACCACACCGTGTGATTGGTTGTGAATAAGATTTTATGACCTTAGGTTCTTTCCTATACCCCTGTTTTGAGCAGACATAAAGAAGCCTTACTACCTTCTCTTGTTTTTTCGTCCTCCGTTGTTTCCTTACGTTGAAACCATGATTGCCTCCATACTGCTTATAAGCTATATATGCAGCCTCATCAGAACTAAACTCCATTCCAATACATAGTTCATCTTTTTTCTCATTCACTTTGTTTTCTTCTAAAGCAACAACCTCTTCAGTTTGAACATAATCGTCTTTGTTGGCTATGTCATCTTCTTCTTCAAATTCACTAACTGAAGCTTCGTCTTCACTTATTGAATTTTGACATAACAAACCAGATTCATCCGAGACTTGCAAAATGGATCCATAATGACTATCACGAACAATTTCATGACCATTTAAATGACTACTCTCCATTGTAATCTGCATTAACGATTTTAATATTAGCATATATATATATACTATATCGTATAAATCATATCAAAGACTACCTTATATTCAAAACAACTACCGTAATATATAAAATAGGCTATAATAGTTACTTTTAAGAAATCAGTGAACACAAAAATTGATGTAAATGAATCCAAGATTAAGATTTATAATCATGATCAACGTACCTCTACGGATCCAAAAACTTTTTCACTGTCTTTGACATCTTTAGATGTTGTTTTCATGTTATTATACGTAGAAGACTTGCTAGCAAAAATACCAAATTACAAAAAACCACTCATTGAAAAACGTACGGTGAAGCAAAAAAAAAGGTTTGATCCCAATACTCATCGATCGTCATAATAATTAACAATCTAGGAATTCAAATGACTGTGACCAGACCAAAAAGAATCTTCGTCATAAATACAAGTAGAAAATAACTTGAAATACTTTGACACAAAAATATTGGCTCAAGAAACAGACGGAAGAAAAAATCATTGTAATATATGTTGCTTTCTTAATAAATAGTGCATACAACTTTATAAGCTGATGAGTTTAAAATAAATCAAACTAGTAAGCAATTAGATGAAATCTGATAATTGCAGGTACATTAAAATTTATTAGTAAATTAAGACATTCCAAATTGTAGAATGACCAATTCAGAGACTGTGTAAAAAGGTGTAACTGAACATGAACTACCTTAAGAAGATCGAAGACCTTTTGGCAGATATATTTCTAATGAATTTTTGCACCCCTTTGCTGAAGTTTGTCTGGATGAACACAAAGTGTTGCTTTCCTGTAAGCTCACTTTATGGCTGCTGAAGGTATGACTTCTCTTAACGGTAAAGGTTGCCACTGTCGTTGCTTTCGGGACCGAGGATCTGGTTCATAACAAACAAAAACAAAAACAAAAACTTGATTTTGAGAAAGCTCTTGTTTTCTAACTTTGTTCTCTATGTTGTTCGGTTAGGAAAAGTTACGTATTGTAGTGTTGAGAGTAATACTCTTATACCACCTCAAACTGATAAGAAATTATATGAAAGCTAATAATTGCAGGTTCATGGAAAATTAAAGAGATCTGGAGAATTGTGATCCCAGAAGATGAAGATCATAAAATTGCCAAGGAAAACCGTCGTCGCCGTCTTTTCCTTGTCTTCACGGTTCTTCAAACGATTGAAGACGTATCAATGGCCGTGGAATAAATCGATGGAGCCTAAGAAGAAAGCTTCGTATAAATTTTAATGAACCTACAAATCGAAACCCTAACGTATCAATGCTAACACAAACGACGAAGAGACGACGGCGTTAATTAAATCAATCTTTTTGTTAATGATTTTCTTTTTTAATTTTGTTTTATTTGTGTGTTTAATTTTTTAACTTTTATTTAAGTATTATGTGACATGGCACAATCATTGGTTACAAGCAAAGGAGGTGAATACAATGGTTCACCCCTAGGGGTGAACCCAAGAATGGTTCATAAAATATTTGGTTGTAGTGAAAGTAAGCCCGAAGGAGATGAGTGGGGAGGGGATAAGGAGAGAGACACATTATGTTTTGTTTCCTTTGTTGTTAACAAATACTAAGACCTTTGAGGTTTGACGTTTTTTACCTCAAAAAACATCATTACCTTCTGTTCGTACCATAACGTGCCCTGCTTAACACGTGTTCCTTCATCTTTTTCACTGTTTTCTTTTGTCTACATCAACACTTTGGCTCGACCAATTTTATCTATAATAGTTACTATTAAAAGGAATTTGTTAAAGTTACTACTACCGATCTCTGGTCAATTCACGGCCGGGCCGGGTTTGCAAGAACGAAGTAAAGGCTCAAGCGTAAACTTGACACCACAATTATGAGTTTGTTATTGTTGTACAAAATAAAATCAATGGTGAAGCACTAATAAAACAACTTTACGTGTGAGCATTTGAGTGGATAGAGTTTGAAATGAAGATATAACAAGAACCTATAATAAAAGAAAAAGAAAAAAAGAAGCTATACACGTTGATCTTTGTCCTCATGAACTCAAAGACGATTGGAATGGAACATTCTATTTTGCTATGGAACTTAAGATGCACGCTAACAAAATTGAGCAAGACAAGGCAGATGACATGCACTTGTGATGACTTTAACCATTAAAAAAAAACGAAAAGACGAGAACACAAGGACTCGAAACATCCACAAGGCATAAGAGAAGAAGAGGAAGAAGAAAAAACTCAACTATATATTTTGAAGTTCCAATGTTCCATATTTAAAACTAGACCTGGATGCTCGTGGAATTGAGCCAAAATTCCATGTTAATATCCTCAAGACAAGACCAGAGAAAAATATCAGTAGAGAAAATCAAATAAAAGTCAAGTAAAGTGTCTGAACATTTTCTAAAGCAAGAAAGCCAATAGTCTGAACACAAAATCAGTGAACTCCCTGAATCATAAGTGACTCAACATATAGTATGATGGTTCTTTAATGTCGCCGGTTTAATACATCCCAATCAATCCTGTCCCTATTCGCACAAGCACAGGGCAAGCAGAAAGAAGCTTTTCACTCAAAAACTCAGATTTTTTCAGCTTGCTGTTGCATTTATTGTAAAACCGTCTTTTTTTGGTGAATAAATTTTACATTCATACAAAAAAAAAAAAAAAAAAAGCTTTTCAAACGCACTATCATCTCTAACAAGCAATATTGAGAGTCTTAAGGGCGGGAAGAAAAGCATTCTTAGGGAAACGATCAATTGTAAAGCGAGTCCCTAGGTCCAACTTAACCATCGTCTTTAGTGAAGACCACATAGTCGTATATGTAATGTGTTGAAGCGCGGTGTCTTGGAGCCTGATATACGACTGTTTACTTGAGCATACTGAGTTGGATCAACTCCCTTTTGGCATATTAGAGACAAGGTCTTAACGCGGGAACAAAGAGGCAGAGCCAACACTACATATACATCATCCAAGAAATTTATCAAACGAAATCTATCAAAAAAAAAAAAAAAAAAAGAAATCTATCAAACTCCTTTGATTCTCAACTGTGTCATCACTCATCAAGCTCAACATTTTGTATGATGGTAAACAGGTTCTGCCACTTCTTTGAGAGAACCAATGCTAAAACAGCTTCCTTTGCCGAAATAAAAGATACAATGTGACAAATGATCTCATCTGGTAGATTGCTGATTCTATCCATTATTTTTGTTGAACTAATTCAAATGGAGTGTCAAAACCACAATGTATCACCAAAGATGTAAGGACAAAAGACAGAAATTAGCTGCGAAAAGTACTACACTTTTGAGTTTGAGTTTAGCAAAGTTCTAAACTTTGAGCTTGAGAGGATATAACAAACGAATATGAGAAGCTAAAAAAGTCACTCAAAATCAAATTGATATTGAACCACAAGAGATGATTTAAATTTGGGCACATACCTCGAAATAGAGATGAAATCGACGGAGAAGTTTTGTAGACGATCACACGACAACACCTAAACTAGGGTTTTGGAAATAAACTCACTGAATTGGTGAAATTAATACGAAAATTTATGGTTTTTGAAAATAAAACTGTTCGGTTTTACTTTATAATAGGTTTGATTAAACCGGTTTTGAAGTAAACCAAACCGAACCTTTGATTCGCAAGCCTTTGACGTTTGATAGCCGCTGATGTGCACTGCGTGTCGTTTTTCTCGTAATAAAGTATTATTAAAAATCGGTTTAGAGTGGTTTCCTAATTTCCTCCACGACCGCCTCAAACCACAATAATGAAATCGAACGGTTAATATTGTACCAGTGACACGTGTTCTATTTTCTATCCATCGATCAAATGATTCAGAAGTTTTTGATTTTCAAAGAGAGAAAAAAAAAAATTCAAAATGCCCAAAAATCAGAGCAGTTGGCGCTTTCTTCCTCAAAAAAAACTTCAATCGACACAGTTTCTCTCTATCAATGGCGATCAAATTCGCATCACTGTTAACTCTCTTCTTCTTCATTGCAATCTCAATTTCAGAATCCACAGGTTCGTTTATGTTTCTTCTTTCTCTTCACTATCATTTTACTCGACGGGATTTGATTTTGAGTGTTTCTCTTATCGTAGATGAATCTGGTCTCCCGAAATTTACTTTCAGTTGGTCGAATGATAAGAACAAGTTCAAATCTGGAGAAATCGCTGAAATTTTAATCAAAGTTCTCGGAAATTTCGATAGCCATGGAAACGCTTCATTAGGTCAGAGAGCTTTTAAGCCTACGGTTACTGTGAATGCAAAAATTGGGAACAGTTCGTACATTTCTGGGGTTTATTTGGATCTTGGTGAAGATATTAGCAATTGGAAGATCTATTTTACTCCAATCATGGTTGGGATCTTCAATATCGTTATAGACGACGAGAATTTCAAAGTCCTCGATTCGTCGCTCCATTTCGAAGTCGAACCAGGTTCGGTTTCTTAAATTTTGGTGTTCCTCAAGTTTGAGTTTCAGAAAGTTACTAAAAAAGAGTTTTTATATGTTGTGAAGGGTTGATGTACCCATCTGTTAGTGTTGTTTCTTGGATGGGTCTTGCAAATGTGTTTGAAGCCGGGATGAATGCATCAATTTTGATTCTTCCGAAGGATGCATTCGGGAATAACATATCTTTTTCCGGGAAGGAGATGGAGTTTCAGGGGTTTTCTTTGTCTCTTCTTAATGAAAATGGTTCAATTGCTGCTGGTGTTCTTAATATCACACATATCAGATGGATTGAATCTGGTTATATCTCCATTGAGTTTGTTCTTGTTACTACTGGAAAATTCTTATTGCTTGTGGAGAAGGAGAGCCAAACATTGAATGGTGTTCCGTTACCTCTTGAGGTGAATTCAGGTGGTTTTGGTTTTGGTTCCATATACTTTTTCTCAGTTTCACAACGGTTATCATGTGGATTTTAAGCTTAGAAATCTTGTCCATGTTTGTTGGTTTTGTGTAGGACCTTTGGATGTTTCCAATTGTGTGAGTATATGGAAGTCAGAGTTAAACACATGGCAAATATTTTCCAAAATGGAGATCTTGTTACACCAGAAAGATCGATTCGGAAACCTTGTTTCTGGATTCTACGAATTTGATGCTGATGTGGTGGAAATAGAGACGGGTTTATCCATACCGGTAGCAGATTTCCAGTTTGAGTATGTAGAGCCAGGGATTCAGTTGATGTCTTTCAGCCTATCTGAACCAGGAAATTTCTTGCTTACTCTTTCTGATATGAAACACAATAAGAGCATCGCTAGTATGCCATATTTGTATACAGTATATATAGGTCAGTGTTTGCCTAAACTGTTCCATGGTATGATGCTTCTTGGTGAACGTTCTCTGTAGCATTTCTCTTTTTTTTTTTCTTGACAGGTTATTGTGATGGATCAAGAAGTATAGTTAATGGTTCAGGGATTAATGCTTCTATTGCTGGGGAGTCTCTTGCGTTCTCTATTTACTTGAAAGATGCTTATGGTTATCCCTCATCAATCCAAGTGGATAGACTTCAGGTCCGAATCGTACTAGAGACTGATTCCTCATTTATTTTGCCAACTATACAGCCAAGAGAGGCTCTCAATGGTACAAACATATTTTACTGATTTTCTTACTTTCATTATTGGTTGATGTCTTCACTTGTGGCTTACAATGATTTACTAGGGACTGGATCAAGTCACCAAACTGCTACTCCATTGTACGAGAAACATGGCGGAATAGTAAGAAGATTATCTGCATATGTGCTTATCATACTCGATTAGGCCTAGAGACTTAATGTAGTTTCCTTCTCGCAGGCTTCAGGCAGCCTACCAACTCAAGCGAGTATTTTTGACGTAACTTATACTCCAAAAAGGAGTGGGATCTATAGAATTCTTATATCATCAGGAAACATAGTTCTCAATGGAGGCCAGCCTTTCATTAAGGAAGTATATGCAGGTATCAAACTCCATACCATAATTTAGATATTTCCATATGTAGATTGTGTCTATTAATTGGGAAATGTATGTTCTCCTTGTTTACTCTTTCTTCTTTTAGGTGAAGTGAATGTGGCAGCATGTAGTGTGACCCAATTCAATGCAAAAGTGCCAAAGGAAATCAAGAATGACGTTGTGGTGTTGCTCTTGGATGGCTTCTACAATCCTGTACCATCTCAGTCATCTCGGTTAAAGTTGGAGATCACCTCAGCTAATACATCAAGTTTCACTACATGGGAATTTGTAGATAATAATGATGGGACATATACTGGTAGCTATTTGGCCATGGAGGTCGGTACTTACCGAATGTGCATATCTTTTGACAATAAACATATCGAACCTTGCCCCTTTGATGTTAATGTGTATAGCAGTAAGTCCACTACTTTTCTTCTTTCACCATATATGATTATTAGTTTGCATGTTTATGAGATTCTGCCATGGTTTAGATGGATACTTTCCAAGAGCGTATGATGATCCAGTCAATGTATGGGAAGATGAGTCAATATCTTTCAATCCACTGGAAAACGACTATTTTGCTGGCGACAATGCGAGCATGCTCGGTTTCTCACAAGTGAGGAATGAATGTTGCATTTCTTCTATGTTTTGCAGATAGTTAAAAATCCTTTGACGGTTAGAAAATCTTTGTCTTTAAACTGTTATTTTCTATTGGTTTTGGAATGTTAGCCAGGTCATGGTTCTCTCCTGAGAGATGGCAACGTCCTTAGATACACGCCAATCAAGGATTTTTCAGGAAATGACTCCTTTCTCTATACAATAGCTGATATCAATGGAAACTTAGCCGCAGCTACAGTATACATCTTTGTTCTTACTGCTCCTCCTCAGTTTGTCTCGTTTTCCGGCGGCTTGCAAGCAACTGAAGATCTAATCAGTCCTAGATATGGGCAAGCATTCTTCATTTTTTCTTTCTTACATAAGTTTATCTTAATAATATTCCACTTCACTTATAGTAATCCTGTTCTTGAATGTTATTACAGTGGCTTCTCTGGGCTGGAGATAAGCTACTCAGACCTGCTGGAGAACATTTCAGTAACAGTACAAGCCCTTTCGGGATCGGTCATTTTGTCTCCCATGTTGATGCAGTTTAGACCTCCTGCAAGTGGAAGACTCTCAGTTAGCAATGGAGGTGAAGATGGAAAAGTCTTAATCTTAGAGGGACAAATAGGAGTTATCAATCCCGCACTTCAGTCGATTCAATATCTCGGGTATGTATGAAACCACGGATACTCTCTGGCATCATAAGCGAGTTTCAGATTTTGCTAATTTCAACTTTGTTTTCTTTGGTTCTGCCTGCCTCAGAAATGAGAATTTTGCTGGTGTTGATTCTCTTCGGCTGTCCACAAAGAACAAGAATGGGATCAATCATCTGGATGTCCCAGTTTTCGTTGAACCCGTAAATGATCCACCGTTTATTAATGTTCCTCAATATATAATGCTGGAGAGTAATGGGAGTGAGTCACTTATCTTTCACCCGGAAAGACACAAGTTCAACTTCTCAGTTGGAGATCCAGATCTTGTTAATTTCCCTGGTAATGTTCACTCTTGGTCACTTTCAAGCTAGAACATTCCTTTTTTTGACTGATGAAAGCAAAATGTCAGGTGGTGAATCTCATTTCTTAGTAACGTTTTCCGTTGAAGTCACTGACGGGTTTCTGCTGACAAACTTACCGTCAGAGCTTATAAACTCAACAGAGCTTAAGTTCAAAAACATGTTCCAATGGCAGCCAATTCAGACTTACGCCGCCATTTCTAAACACGTGAATGTCAAAGCTAGTGGGATTAGGTTTCGTGGAACCATAAAGCAATGCAACGACCTTATGCAACAGCTGCTCCATCGCGTAAATTCCATTGTCGATCTTTCAGTTAAATGTTTTTGGTTCCTAATATGTATATTATCATCACAAATCTTGCTCAGGGAGGAGAGAACGGAGCGGTCTTGACCCTGAAACTTAGTGACATGGGGAACTATGGGTGCTTCCTAGACTGCACCGAGAGAATTTCATTGCCTCTTCATGCAAAAGCTCGCGTAAACCTCATTAGGAAGAGACCCTTGAGTTCCCTTGGAGCCCATGGTACGTTTATGAAACACTTGGTAGTGGTTCCATTCAGTTTGGTTTACTCTGTTTCATAAAAACCTTGCCAAATTATATAACCAAAAGAACTATGGTTTGATTTTGGTTTGGCTTCAATTAAGCTTTTTAGTTTCTTGATGGTTCTATTTGGTTAAATCTGGTTCTGCTTGGTTTGATTTTGTTTAGTTTGAATCTGTTTAGTTCGGCTCTTCATTTTAAACATGAAGATTATATTAAGCGCATATTTGAACGTACATGTAATAAAGAGTAAGGTGAGTGGTGTGGAATGGTCACTTTTAGTTTTGCTTGGAAAAATGGTTTGATTGGATTGGTATAGTTTCTTAGGCCTACCTTTGTCACTTGGTCGCAGTTCTAGGATCTGTGATTGTGGTGGAGTCACTCGTGGTATTCTCTCTCGCTACTCTGCTTCTGTTCTTCACTTGCAAATGTGCATTTCTTCTCGTACACGAGAGAAGAAGCGAAAAGAATTCGCAGAAACCAACGGTAACTAAAAACTCATCTCTCATGTATATTCTTACAGCCAGTTGTATCCAAGCATAAAGAGGTTACTCTCTCTTCTGGAGCAGGACAATGCCGAATTGTTAAACAGCAATGTTTCAACAAGAACAATCACTGGTTGTCTCCTAGAGAGTATCTGGCATCGCCATACGCAGCAGAGGTATATTTTGGGGGCAATGGTTTAATTGTGTAAATAGTATCCATTCTTGGAAATGTAATGTGTTTTGTGTATTTCTTTGCTGGTATAGACACATAGGTGAAACTTCCGGCAACCAGAGTAAGCAGTCGTCGCCAGAGATTAACATTTTCCGTTCGAGCTAGACAAGGCTAGAAGTTGATGAATCTAAGCCATCAACCAATGTCCGGAAGAATCTCATGGAAGAAAGGCAGAGATTGCTTAGGCACATATGCTTTTTGGTTAAGCTTTTGTTGTAAATACTCACTGATTCTATATTAATTACCATTTTGGTTAGCTACCAAAGTTAATACCAGATAAGATAAGCAACAAGTTGATTAAAGATATTTCCTCTTTTGATCCGAGTAGACTACAAATACAAAACATGAAACCAGAACTTAAATGTTATCACTAAACCAAACTGAAGCAGAACCAGTTTGAGTTCGATCAATTTCCCTCATATATGGAAAACTGATCGAGGTCAAACCAGACACTTCATTCGTTACATCAATAAGACATATCGCTAACCAAATTTAACATAACCAAAACATACATACAAATAAAGAAGTAACTAGAAGTTAATTTGAAAGAAGATGCAGAGAGATTATCTTCAAAGTGCTGCAATAGTGTTTGCAAAGTCGTGGAAAAAATCAGAGAATCGTAGATCATCTCCATCCAAACATCTCTGAAACATCAAATCTGAATCTTCAAGGCCCTCAAAATCAGACAAAAGATTTGGATCCACCAAGACATGATCATCAACAGAGACATGATCATCAACAGAGACATGATCATCAACTACAGCTTCGGAATTGGTCAAAAGAGTTGCAGTAGTAGTCTCCTGAAGTTCCTGATGAGTGTTGTTCGAAAACCAATCATCTAGCGATCTTTCAAAATTAGTCTCGAAATCAATATCCATCTCCAGATCATAATCCAAGTTTCCTTCAGGTAAAACATTGTTGTTGTTGTTATCCATGTCTTGATCATAATCCAAGTTTACTTCAGTTAAAGCATTGTTGTTGTTGTCCGTGACACAAAAACTTCCACAAATCGAGAGAATCTGATCTTGTTCTTCTGGGATCTCGTTGAAATTTGCAGGTGATTCATCAGGGACGCAACAAATTGCAGAATTACTAGACTGAAGATTTAGGGTTTGATCTGGCTCTTGAGTAATCTCGTTGAAATTTTCAGGTAAATCATCAGGGATGCAACAAATTGCAGAAGTGGACTGAAGATCTAGGGTTTGATCATGAGCTCCGTGGTCAGAAACAATTATTCTCTTCACGTTGTTCTTCAGGTCCTCATGATCATTAACTAAAGCTTGTGTACTGACTAAAGCTTCCTCCGCACGCAATTCCTTGAGATTACTCAACAACGTCCACATGGAATCGATGGCGTCACTAAGCTCTTGGGGATTCTCCGATCTGGGAAGGCTCTCGTTATTCCACCAAAACCCTAACCCTAGATTCTTACGAGTCAAACAGATACCAACGTCTTCCCTCATCGCTTTGTTATCCTCCTGAACAGGAACAGGACGTTGTCCGGAGAGAAAAGCAGAGACAATGCCATCAACGGAGGAGTGACCGAAAGAGTAGAAGGATACGTTGGATTCAGAAGAAGGAGGAGTCGCTAGGATAGCGATTTGTGCACCGGAGAGAAGACAAAGCTGAGAGGCTTTGCTAAAGAGACCTTCACGGCGTTTAGTGCAAATAGGCATGAGAGAAGTCTTCTTCGTAATCTTCTTGATCTCAATCTTCCTCCTCGTGCCTCCTTTTTTCACCATTCTGATTTTTCTCAATTTTCACCACAGCGAGAACTCAGAGAGGGAGAGAGTAGTGTTTTTTAGTTTTCTGCGTGTGGAGAAAAATAGGCGACAAGTCTCTCATATAAATAAGGAAACATTATCCTCCTAAACCGACTATGTATCAGTATCACAGCAAACCTATGTCGTCTTAAAACCAATTTGATTTCAATCGCTACCGGTTCACATAACTTACTAAACCGAGTAAACCATCGAACGTAATATTATGGTATGGGCGTAAGCCCAACTATCCACCAGAATTCTCCCCCTTTTTTTTCTTTTCTCTTATAAATAAACTAGTATTTTGACCCGTGCTATGAACGGGTATAACTTTTTTACTTTTAACAATTTTTTTAGAAAAACAACAATAACAATCTTCACAAAACACTATTAATATAAATTTAAATTTAATATTTAGGATTTGTAATTCTTATTACAATGTATTTGAAATAAATACAATCCGTAATCTTAACAAAAAAAAAATTCTCCAAATATTGATATCTAAACAGAGAAAGCAATTTAAAATTATCACAAATTTGAGGGAGAATTACAAAAGAAGAGTTAATTATTAGAATTGATGATAATCAGAGTTTCTATCTTCAATGAGAATGTCTTGTGGTTTTAATGTCTTTAACTATAAAGAGGGGTGTTGGAAGAGTAGAAAAAAAGAAGATGTGCATTGCCGTGATGTAATTACATGGATACGTTCTTTCCACTCTTAACGGGGCTCTGTTTTGACCATGACGAACTCTTCATGCGAGAGCTTTGCGTCCTCCAGACGATCAAATCTTTTAGATCTAAGTCCATCCTTATTGTTTCTCGCCAACGTCTTCATCGTTGTTGACGTCTAGTACATGTTTGATCTAGTTGTTTTATTTGGTCTCCGCCAACGATTGGGTTGTCACTGATTTATATAAGTGAAAACAGAGAGAGTTAGAGACTTGAGGAGTGAGGCTTCATGAATATATAGATGAAAATGTAAAAGTTAGCAAAATGCGATTTTAAAACTTATAACATGTACTAAATGTCTTAGTTTCAAAGATCAATATGCAATGTTAACTACAACTTACATTGTTTTCGAAAGAAGGCGGCCATGGATGATCCAGTTTGAGGTGTAAAGAGTTAGTAGGACATACAAAAACTTACGTTGTAAGATTTGGTCCAAATCATTTGGAAGATAAAAAGATAAAATTTGTTGATAAACAGTTTGCCGAGTAATTTTGAAGAAATAAATTAGTTAGTACAGTAAGTTTTATATTGGATCTTAAAGAAGTTATTAGAGGAAGTTGAGATCATGGAAGGTGGAGATCGTGGAGATTGAAAAAGAGGCGTTTTAACCGGAGAGGGAAATGATAAAATTGCTTATTAATTATTTTGTAAACATGAGTAGCTGAGTTGTCAATTAATCGATCATTTAGGGGAAAGGGTCTTCGATTTTTTTTTTTTTAAAACGAAGTTCGATTTTATTTTTATTCTGTTGTAATTTTAAATTAGAATAAAGGATTTTAGCCATGTGACTTGTGATTTATAAGATAAAGGATTAAAAATTGTTCTAGAATCAAGGAGTTGGATTTTTCCAGAGGAATATATTTAAGAGGGAAACACCAATTACAAAAGAAAATAGTATCACTTTTACGCAACGGTTACAAAATGCAATAAGTAAGTTCCAACCAAGTTACCATGTAATTATATACATCAGAATCTCTATGACCAAAATAACTACAATAGGACTATTAAAAAGCATGATTTAGCTCTCAGCAATATGAAACAACTAGAAAAGTTCAAAATACTATTTTAGGACAAATCATACATGGCCATGATACTATATACATTTGAGCTACACAAATAATATTCAATACTCTCAACTTTTTTTTATAAAAGGTTATTGGAACGTCCTATTGTTTATCTGGTCTTCTAAAACTTTGAAGATGTAGTTTTTGTGCTTACTATCACATAAGGTCCAACAACAAGACCTGGTTAACAAAAAGAGATTATCGAGCTTTTCATAACACTCGTCAATGAATAGATTTTTATCACAATGGGATAGTTAGTAAAAATTCCAAAATCACAAAGAAAGGTTGCAAGTACTTGAGGCAACTGTTTTAACTTTGTAATCTCCATCATCTCTACAAGTTCCTACATCAACATTGCAAGTCCACGAAAGAGTCAAAACAACTATGGAGACAAGGAAAATGTTTTAACATGATTTTATCATACGCAAATACTCTTTACCAAGAAGGAAGAAGAAAAAATGTAATGAAACTAGGCAAAGAAAAAAGAAGAGCACATCAAAATAGGGATTGAATATGATCAAGTCCAAATTGAATGTTTGAACAAGATTGGCTTAAAGAACCACAACCTCCCTTTGTTCATGTACCCACAATTGCATCAAAGTAACAATGCTTTATTCTGGAAAAGCCTTTTTTTTTACGACATTCAAACACATAAAAGGAAGTTTTAATAACGACAAAATCTAGAGATAATGATATGCAATGTATGTAATTAAACAATTCAATCTACTTTTTGAAGGTAAAGGATAAATGTATTGATCTTGTAGTGATGCATATTTGATACTCCTGTTCTTTTTCTTGGTCTCTTTGAGTCAACATAATCTGCTTCTATCTCAATCTTTTCAATCTCATGTTTCTCACAAAACAAAGAAACTTTCATCATGAGAGAATTTCACCCATCATCCCTAAAATTATGAAGTTGTCTCTTAGTTGATTTCACCAATGATATAGCATTTAAAATATATTGATCTCTTCTTTCAAGCGCCATTGACAAGCTCTCTGTTAGTCCTAAAAGGTGTATCATCATTTGCAAATAAAACACAAAATCAAAACTATGAAAATAGTTCAGGAGACCATGTGCTTGACGTCTTTTCAAGTCATCCACACCTTCATTCTCAATATACTCGAGAACCTCGACGATACAAGAAAACAACTCAATCAGCCGCAATAGAGTGTTGTAGTGAGAATTCCAACGAGTAGTCCCTGGTCTCTGAAGAGAGATCTCTTGATTCAACCCTGTTTTAGTACTGATTTCTCCATTATTAATTCCTTCCTGAATTTTTTTTCTATAACTCTCTCGGATCATATCTTTCCTTTTGCAAGAACCTCCCACCACATTCATCAACATAGAAATCATATCAAAAAAATCTCCAACATTAAAATGTTTTTTTTTGCAACTGCCACAACAACCAATTGAATATGATGAGCAAAGCAATGAACATAATATGCCGATGAGCTTTCCCTTAGAATTAATGATTTTAATCCATTGAACTCGCCTTTCATGTTACTCGCTCCATCATACCCTTGTCCTCTCACCTTTTTAATGCTCAATCCATATTAGCAAACAAACAATCAATAGCAAATTTCAAAGATGCTGCAAATGTCTCACTCACATGTGTAATACTCATGAATCTCTCTTTGACTATCCCACTTTTATCAACAAATCGAAACACTACCGCAAATTTGTTCTTTATCAGAAACATCCGCAGATTCATCTACCAGCAGACCGAAAACATCATGATCTATTTCTGCAATAATAGATTTGACAATTTCATTTGCAAAAGAATGCACAATATCTTTTTGGATCTTAGGAGAAGTCATTTGATTATTTTCTGGAGCATTATCTAAAATAACCTTACTCTTAACTTCGTTCTGATCAGCAATATACTTCAAGAGTTTCACAAAGTTACCTCTATTAGCAGACTTTTCAGACTCATCATGTCCACGGAAAGGTAATCCTTGTCGCAGTAAGTATTTGGAAGCATCAACTAAAACATTCAACTGAATTCGATACTCATTTCTTGTAATATCATCTTGTTTATGATAAGCATGCTCAATAGACTAACCTTGTTTCATCAAATTTTCACACTTCATAACAACATTATTGTGAAAACTATCAACACCTCCCACATGTTCTGAAAAACTCTTAAAATTGTTCCACCTAGAGATCCCTTCTGTGATAAATGCATCACTTCTTACGCATTTACCAGCACTATCTCTGAACAAGTAACAACACAGGCAAAAACCTTTATCTTTTTTTCACACTATACTCTAACCAGCTTTTAACCGATAAAACCAAACTGGATTAAACCGCCTCATTGACTTTCCTATCAACGTTTGTTTCAAAATATGCCCACGAGGTTGACAAGGACCTCTAGTTAAGTATCTTCGAATTACCTCATTTCTTTGATTTGGAAGATAATCTACTATTCTTTTTTGATCTGCAGGATCCCAAAATAAAACAATATCATCTGTTTCACTGCGAGGTGGAGATGGTTTTTTTGGGTTATAATACCTTTTCATCGCTTCTTCTGAAAACAGATTACGATTAAAAAAATGTCAACATTAAATAAACATATGACACTGGTAATTGTCTACGAGACTACGACTAATAATTTTTTTTCCAAAAGATTCATTCCAACTTAGAACATTATATATTTGAGTTTTTTTTTTGTTGAGTGTGGTTTGATAAACCCAAACCGACATATAATTTCGTTTAATTGTACAATCTAAACCCTAATCTATATTTGTAAACCCAAACCAAAATATAATTTTGTTTTATTGTAAATCTAAACCCTAATCATTTTTTTATAAACCCAAACCGATATATAATTTTGTTTAATTGTAAAAATCTAAACCCTAATTCAAATTTATAACCCAAACTGATATATAATTATGGGTGAACCCAAGAATTTTTCGTTAATGAATTTATTTGTTTATATATTTAGATTATATTAATTATTTTAATTTATTTAATTAGATGACATGGCAAATTTTAGTTGGTTAATTAAGAAGAGGTGAATGAAAGAGGTTCACCCCTAGGGGTGAACCCAAGAATTGTTCTTCTTGTAATTTAATTTAAAGATCTTTTTTTTTTTTTGAAAATTGTGTTAAGAATAATATTTTCTTGTCAAGGTTGGAGTTAAGGTATATGTAAATTATAATTTATTAATGACCTGAAAAATAATATTCGTATCAACTAAGGAAACGAGGAGAATCCGAGCATCTTCTTTGGACCAATGATTTGATGATTTCACTTTTGCTCTCTCTTTAGATTTAAAAACACCTAAAGAGGTACAAAACATTCTCAAGCATAGTTTACGCTATAAGACAAGTCTCAAATGTATGTTTTTGGATAGAATTTTATGATTTTAGGTATAAGAGAAATTCTTTTGAATTCATTAGAGCGCTAAAAATCTTGGATATGTAAACGAACAATTTCCAAGTAATGCTTTTCATAGTGATATTTCTTTGACATGTATCCATGAAAAAAATAACTCCATGACACCACAATTAAACCTTAATAAATTAGTATTGTTGAACATTGATATTTATTATTTTATTGATATATTAATTGAAATATAAAATAATATATATTTATTTACAGAAATATTTGTTTCAAAATTTGAAACATTATAAATTTTTTGTGAAATTTTAGAAAGATAATGTGAGACAATTTGATCCATACAAGATATGCTAATTTTACAGTATTGACTTGTTCAATTTAATGTTAATAAAGACAATGAATCTCATTTGTTGAATATATTAAAATACTTTATTTAGAAAATTATTATTTATTCTCGATTTTTCTTTCTTTTCATCAATCAAAGACAAAAAGAAGAAAGCAGTAGTTTATCGAGATATATGCATCCATAATGCATATATAATCCATAATGCATTTATTAGACAAAGGCAAACACCCGGAATGTCAGCGTTTCTGACTGATTTTCGCCATCCTTCATGAATATATGCATCCATAATGACATCAAAATCATCATCAAATGCATAGAGACCAGTGGCTATTTTGATGTTGAATGATAGAGCTCCACTTCTCATTCTCGATTAACGACTTGTCTCGAACCAGGTTTTCTAGGGGATTAACCACCAGCTCTAGAGGACTAACCACATGATTCATGAGGAAGACGTAGGTCTCTGAGAATCTGAGATCCTATTGAAGACAGTGAAAAAAGGATTTAGAGAGAGTCAGAGGGAACGATGATTTTGCTTTATAAATTTTGTTGAACCGCTTGTTTTAAATTTCAAAATTTTTAAATTTTTTTGTGTTGCCCACTCTTGGACTTACAAAAACAATATTTTACCACAGTCTTTTGAACAATAAAAAATAAAGGTAAAATATAACATAAGATTGTCTCTACAAAATTTAAGGTAAAAAATTATTACTTTATATTTAAATTTTTTTTTCTCTATTCTACTTTAGAGGTTATACGAATCACACCCCATAACAAATTCTTGTCGGTAGTGCAACATTTGTCCAAATGCAATATCAAAACAAATCTAGACAAATTTAGTGGTGAAAATAACATTCACAAATTGAAAGTGAAGATTTCTAGTCTCAATTTTCAACAAAATTTGATTTCAATATTATAAAATATATTAATATGACCATGATACTGTTTTTAGCGTTCAAAGTTTATAGTAGGCCTGGGCAAAATACCCGGAACCGAATACCCGAACCAAAAAACCCGAACAATACCCGAACCGAACCCGAACCCGATTTTTAAAAATACCTGAATGGGTCCTAACCTCCTACCCGAAAAAAACCCGAACCGAACCCGAACCGAATCCAATACCCGAATGTACCCGAATGTACCCGAATACAAATATACACCTAAAAATATTAGTTATTTTTATTTTTATAATACCCGAAATACCTAAAATTACAATCATAAAACCGAATATATTAGGTATTTTAGATATTTTTGGTTATATTTGGGTAAAGAGTAACCAATGTATTTTCGAGAAATCGGGTATTTCGGTTAGATTTGGGTATATATGAGTTAAAAACCCAAACCCGACCCGAACCCGAAAATATTCCGGGTATTTTTGGTTATTTTCGGGTATTTTGCTTTTTTTATTAAAATACCCGAACCGACCCGAACCCGAACCGAACCCGAACCGAATTTTTAGAATACCCAAATGGGTCTTGATCCCCTACCCGAATAGACCCGATACCCGAAAAAAAAGAACCGAACCCGAATGGGTACCCGAATGCCCAGGCCTAGTTTATAGTACGTTTTCCACTATTTTTAATAGTAATGATAAACACTATAACAAAAAGGTATTTTGCATCGCTTATTTTGTATATTTCATCAGTTATAATTGATGCAAACGAGTTTTACATCACTTATATAAGTGACTTTGGAATTGGTGATGCAAATTATTTGCATCGGTTCAAATAATAATTTGCATCGATTATTGTAATCGATGTTAATATGCATCAGTTGCAAAAATAATGTTAATTTTGCATCAATTAATATAAATGATATTAGTATTTGCATCACTTTATCAAAATGACGTTAATATTTGCTATAGTAATATTAAGTGATGTTAAGTGTTTATATCAATTATAAATAATTGAGGCTAAAATTTGTAAATCATATTAAATAATTTTTTGATAAACAAATTTATTTAATTTTATTAAGTAATATAAAAGCAAACATATTATATTTATTTAAGATAATAGTTTCTTATTAAGCTTTACCCTTTTTTGACACCATAAAAACCAAGGTCATTATATATAAGAAACTATGAAGCCTTTTTTTAGTGGGAGCAATGTGGGACTTTGACATATTAAGTAACCAATTACATCGCTTTTTACAACTGATGCTTAATCTTTAATTAGCATCGGTTGTTATTGATTTAAATTTTGTATCATTTTCTAAATGATGCAAATTCATATCTTTCTATCAATATTATGAAAGTGATGCAAATAGATCTAAATTTGCATCAGTTTTAATGAAACGATGCCACATACAGTATATCAATAATGGCATCAATTACTACAATTGATGTTAAATTATAAATTTCGTATCGATTATAAATAAATGATTCAAATTAGTATCATTTAATTTTTTGGAAGATGATATTAGTTCGAAAAATAATATAAATGTTTTGATGAAGCTTTTTTCTAGAGATGAGTTCCATTGAAAAACTAAATTTAAGAAAAATTACAAACAACATTAGAATAAAATACTAGTAGCTTGTAGTAGTGTTAATAACCTATGGCCATTATGGCCAAAAAGATTGGAACCAAAATCATTTTTGGGATGTCATGCGACTTGAGAGACCACTTAAAGAATGCTCACACCATGGTTTTATCGTGGGACAAGAATTGTGTAACTTGAGTGTGAAGAGAAACAAGTCACGGCCGCTCTCTAGTATTATATAGAATTTAGATTAGGCTATGATGTTGTATTTCATTACAAAAAAAAAGGAAATAGGTTTCCAATTAAGCCAATTATGATAATGTAAACGGTAAACCAAATCTCACATCAAAACCGTTATCGGTTTTATTTAAACCCAATTATGTATATAGTTTCCGGGTTAAAGCCGAAATTTTATTTATTAAAAACCGACCCAATTTAACTTCAACTAAACCGAATTAAACCATTCATGAGTGAGTCGGTCCACAGTCCAAAGTGAGTCTGATTATATAACGGAAATGGGCTAAGCCCACACATTTGCTAAAGCCATCTCAATATGAACCCTAAATCCTTCTTCATCGACCGACCTTTTCATTTGGCGCCAAAATCCGCAGTCACTTGTTTCTATTTCCCGCTCCTCGACCAATTTGATCTGATCGGAATCCCTAGGGGAAGCGGATCTAATGGCGTCGAATTCGGAAGCGGGAGGATCGGCGGATTACGAAACATTGATGTCGACATCGGACGTTGAGCTATTGAAGAGGGCGTGGCGTAATGAGAAGGCGGCGCCGGAAATTCTTCAATACGAAGGAGCTCTTGTCCAAAGAGCCAAAGAACAGATCGAACTGGTGGTAAAATTTCGTAGCTTGAATATTTATGTCAAACCCTAATTTTTTTCTGGGTTTTCTAGAAAATCGAATTCCTTATTTAACTTTGTTCAGTGTTATGTTAGAGTTAGAGTTATTGTCTTGTCGCTTCCATTTTCAGTAATTGAAATGTTTGTAATAAAACAGGAAGAAACAATTGAAGATTATGTGGAAAATGGCATAGACCCTTTGGTGGTGTCTCTTTATCAGATGGATTTAGACAGAGCTCAGTTTCTACTCAGATCCTATCTCAGGGTTAGGCTCCTCAAGGTCTGTTGTTTTTCCACCCAATCTCTATTCAATGCTTCTTCCATTGCCAAGGGTTTCATATTAGTTGTTTGCTTTAAAGAGATTGTGATATTTGGAACAGAATGTTGCTTAATTGACTTTGCTTTTATATCGTCGCCAATGGTGTTCTTTTGATTGTTGCAGATAGAGAAGTTTATGTTCCACAACCTTAAGTCAGAAGAAGCTGAAAGGCGGCTTTCTGAGCAAGAGAAGGTGTTTGCTACAAGGTTTGGTTTTTTACTTGATTGTGATAGTTTATGTAAATGCTGTTATGAGACAGATTTTTTGAATGATTACAATTTACAGGTGTGCTGATGATTTAGCAAAGCATTTCGAAGAGACTGTACTGCTTAAGTTGCCGGAGAATTATCAGTCTGTCCTCAAGCAATCCCTTATAAGTGAAGTGGATGATATGGGTACCTCCCTAAACCTAATCACTTTGAACCATAATCTAAGTTGCTTAAGCTTGTTTGTTATTATAGTTGAACAATCCCTTTACTGTAGCTAGAGTCGTGTGTGTTACTGATAATTGTGAACTTACAGTGCCGCAGCCGCATTTGGATACCTTTGTTGTTTGTAGAAGCAAGAACTTTGTCTCCCTCAATCTATACGAAGAGTGAGAATTCTCTTATTCCTCCGTACACATATATATACACAACCTCTCTGTAATCTAAGTGTGAGTTTGCCTTTACTTACTTTGGCAGAGGAGAGAGCCCCGAGACTGTGGAGATGGAGCGCGGTGATCTCTACTTCATACGTTACAAGATTGTAAAAGGAGCAATCGAATCAGGCCAAATTGACTTGATCTGAGCTATCAAAACCAATATATGATTATAGATTTTCACTCAAATAGCATATGTTTTGGATGGTGCTACCTTTGTTCAGTGTTTATGATCTTGAGTTGTATAGTTAATTTTTATATTGTATGAGTAATTCCTAATGTCTTGATAGCTTTAGTTACCATGTGGCTTATTTCTTAGAATATGTGTTTCTTTGTTTTGGTCAACGTCTTTCTTAGAATGTTTAAAGTGTTTTTCTTAGAATCAAAGACCCATCTTTTGCATCATTCATCTTCTCTACACCCAATTTGCTACCTTTCAAATGTAATTTCTACACCAACTTCTACTTCATTAGCAATAAATACTAATGGATAGAGGGGTATTAAGAGAATAAAAAAATATTGTTATAAATCGTTAATCTTAAAGCTTCCTAAACCGAAAATCTTACAGCGAATTAAAACGGCGTTCTACCAATTTGAGATTATATATACATAATTAACTCACAAATTTACCATTAGATAAATGCATCGCGATAAAATGTTAGTTCTGGAAAGAAAATATTTATAAACCGAAAACGTTAAACCTTATAAGCTTTCTAAACTGTAAACTTTTAACCTTACGGCTGTTAAAAATAACGGCATTTTACCAATTTAAGATATTTTTTATATATCTATATTTAATTAACTCATTAGATAAATCATAAATACATCGTGCTAAAATGTTAGTTTTGGAAAGATAAATATATTTTTTTGTCAAAAAAAAATTGTTAGAAACCGTAAACCTTATGGCTTTCTAAACCGTAAACTTTACCGATTTGAGTTTTTTCTTTTATTTATGTGTTAGATAAATGTAGTTATGATAAAATATTAGTTTTTAAAAGGAAAACAGTATTGTTATTGTCTAGGAAAAAAACATAAAAGTATTATCAGAGAATATTGTCTCATTGTTAAAATTAAACACTCACATTTTCCTTCACTTTTCATCTAAAAATCTTCATTTGTAGTAAAAAAATATCAACTTTGTAGTCAAATAAAAATCTTAAACAAAATATCAAACTCGTATCATCCCATTCAATACTTTGACTGACGGAAAAGCATAAACGCCGTCTAATATCATCTTTAGATAGAAACAAATCTGTAAAAACACGCTTAAATTAGGATTTAAATGGAATATTCCCTAAAAGATGAATCATTAAAGTCATTTATGGTATCCCTAAAAAATGTTGAAAATATTCAGGCGCGGCTTTTTTTCTTATTTTGTTTTCATTTTAAAAAACAGTTTTAGCGCCGTTTATTGCCGCGCGTCGTTTCGCTCGTCTCTCTCCTTTTATTTACTCTCTCTCTCACACTCTTCCTCTCTAATCACACATCACTACTTTCTTCAACCTCTCTCTCTCAGAGACCGATTAGGGTTTCGCAATTCTCCAGAGGATTTCGCTTCTCAACGTAAGTTTTCGCTGCCGATGTTTCTAAAATCTGTGTCGATTTCGAAATACAGTGATTGTTAAAACCCTAGATTCGGGAATTTTCCTGGGTTTTTAATTGTTTGCGTCGATTTAGTCAATGCGATGTAGAAAAAGCTTCGATTACGTAGATTCGTACGAAAATTATAGTCCAATTGCGTTATAGTGATGATTTTGTCGGTAATTTTGATTTGAAATTAGGGTTTTTGAAAATGGTGGAAAATGGGACGAAAGCTGGGAAGGGGAAGAAGAGAGCACTTCCAGAGATTCAAGAGGTAGACGATGTTTCTAGGACGAGGAGACCGAGGCGTGCTGCAGCGTGTACGAATTTCAAGGAGAAATCTGTTCGAGTCTGTGAGAAATCCGCTACTATTGAAGTAAAGAAACAGCTGGCTGTGGATGAAGAGTTTCTCGCGTTACGGTTAACGTCTCTGGACACTGATGTCGATGCTCGTCCAACCAGGAGGCTGAATGATTTCGTTTTGTTTGATTCGGATGGAGTTTTACAGCCTGTGGAGATGTTGGAGATTAATGACATATTTGTTTCGGGTGCTATCTTACCTTCAGATGTGTGTACTGACAAGGAGAAAGAGAAGGGTGTGAGGTGTCCATCTTTTGGACGGGTGGAGAATTGGAGTATTTCTGGTTATGAAGATGGTTCCCCGGTGATTTGGATTTCTACGGAGTTGGCGGATTATGATTGTCGTAAACCTGCTGCTAGCTACAGGAAGGTTTATGATTACTTCTATCAGAAAGCGCGTGCTTCAGTGGCTGTGTATAAAAAATTGTCCAAGTCTTCTGGTGGGGATCCTAATACGAGTCTTGATGAGTTGCTTGCGGCGGTTGCCAGATCAATGGGCGGAAACAAGTACTTTTCTAGTGGTGCGGCAATCCAAGACTTTGTTTTATCTCAGGGAGATTTTATATATAACCAACTCGCTGGTTTGGATGAGACAGCCAAGAAACATGAAACAAGCTATGTTGAGATTCCTGTTCTTGTAGCTCTCAGAGAGAAGAGTGGTAAAATTGACATGGCTTTGCAGATGGAAGGAAAACCATCTAATGGGGTTCTGAGGATTGATGGAGTTTCTGAGGTTGCGGACAGCGAGGACATGATATCTGATCAACTGGTTGATGGTGCTGATGAGGACAGAAGATATGCTAAAGTGTTACAAGATGAAGAGTACAGGAAATCCATGCAGCGGTCCAGAAAAAACACTAGCTCAGCTTCTGCTTCAAATAAGTTCTACATTAAGATAAATGAAGATGAGATTGCCAGTGATTATCCTCTCCCATCGTACTATAAGAACTCCAAGGAAGAAACAGATGAACTTATACTTTATGATGCTTCCTATGAGGTTGACGCTGAAGACCTGCCTCGAAGGATGCTTCACAACTGGGCTCTTTACAACTCTGATTCACGGTTCATATCTCTGGAACTTCTACCGATGAAACATTGTGATGACATTGATGTCACCATTTTTGGGTCAGGTGTGGTGACTGATGATGATGGAAGTTGGACTTCTTTAGACGATCCTGACAGCGGTTCCCAGTCACACGATCCTGATGGGATGAGCATATTCCTCAGTCAAATAAAGGAATGGGTGATTGAGTTTGGGGGGGATGATATTATCGCCATTACTATACGAACAGATGTGGCCTGGTAAGCTTACTATCCTAGTATTTTGTATTCCCATGTTTCTACATCTTTTTTTTCTTCTATTACTTATGTATAAGGTATATACAGGTACCGACTTGGGAAACCGTCAAAACTTTATGCCCCTTGGTATAAACCTGTTCTGAAAACAGCAAGGGTTGGGATAAGCATTCTTGCTTTGCTCAGTGGGGAAAGTAGGATTGCTAGGCTTTCATTTGCAGATGTCACAAAAAGACTGTCTGGGTTACAGAAGAACGATAGAGCTTACATTTCTTCTGACCCCTTGGCTGTTGAGAGATATTTGGTCGTCCATGGGCAAATTATCTTACAGCTTTTTGCAGTTTATCCCAACGATAATATCAAAAGGTGTCCATTTAATATTGGTCTTGCAAGTAAATTGGAGGATAGGCACCACACAAAATGGATCATCAAGAAGAAGAAAATTTTGCTGAAGGAACTGAATCTGAATCCAAGGGCAGGCATGGCACCTGTGGTATCCAAGAGGAAAGCTATGCAAGCAACAACAACTCGCCTGGTCAACAGAATTTGGGGAGAGTTTTACTCCAATTACTCTCCAGAGGATTCATTGCAGGCGATTGGTGCAGAAAATGGGGAGGATGAAGTGGAAGAGGAAGGCGAAAACGGAGAGGAAGAGGTTGAAGGTGAAAATGAGGATGTCACAGAGGACACTGTACCAGAACCTGTTGAGGTTCAAAAGTCTCATACTCCCAAGAAAATTCGAGGCAGTTCTGGAAAAAGGGAAATAAAATGGGATGGTGAGAGTCTAGGAAAAACTTCTGCTGGTGAGCCTCTCTATCGACAAGCCCTTGTTGGAGGGGAAATCGTGGCTGTAGGTGGTGCTGTCACCTTGGAAGTTGATGATCCAGAAGAAATCCCGGCCATCTATTTTGTGGAGTACATGTTCGAAAGTACAGATCACTGCAAAATGTTACATGGTAGATTCTTACAAAGAGGATCTACGACTGTTCTGGGAAATGCTGCTAACGAGAGGGAGCTATTTCTGACTAATGAATGCATGACCGTACAGCTCAAGGATATAAAAGGAATAGCCAGTTTTGAGATTCGATCAAGGCCATGGGGGCATCAGTATAGGAAAGAGAACATCATTGCGGATAAGCTTGACCGGGCTAGAGCATTAGAAAGAAAAGCAAAAGATTTGCCTACAGAATACTACTGCAAAAGCTTGTACTCACCTGAGAGAGGGGGATTCTTCAGTCTTCCACTAAGTGATATTGGTCGCAGCTCTGGGTTCTGCAATTCATGTAAGATTAGGGAGGATGAAAAGGAGAGGTCTACAATTAAACTAAATGTCTCAAAGACAGGCTTTTTCTCCAACGGGATTGAATTTTCTGTTGAGGATTTTGCCTATGTGAACCCTGACTCTATAGATGGAAAGGAGGGCAGTAAAACTTCTTTCAAGTCTGGGCGAAACATTGGGTTAAGAGCGTATGTTGTTTGCCAATTGCTGGAAATCGTCCCAAAGGAATCTAGAAAGGCTGATTTGGGTTCCTTTGATGTGAAAGTGAGAAGGTTTTATAGGCCTGAGGATGTTTCTGTAGAGAAGGCCTATGCTTCAGACATCCAAGAAGTAAGTACTATTTCTTATATCTGGTAATGTTTTGAGTGGTGAGGTTTCTTCATAAGTTTATCTGACAATACTTTTTCTCTTTCTTTTTGCAATTTCTTAAGTTGTATTACAGCCAGGACACAGATGTTCTCCCTCCAGGTGCTCTAGAGGGAAAATGTGAAGTAAGAAAGAAAAGTGATATGCCTTTATGCCGTGAATATCCAATATCAGACCATATTTTCTTCTGTGATCTTTTCTTTGACTCCTCCAAAGGTTCTCTCAAGCAGGTATATAGCTCTTCACTCTCGTTTCTGTCAATTATTTGTGTACCTAGTTTCTAAAGGAATTCATATAGTTGTGTCTATGATTATTGTTGGTTCCGATACAAAGTTGAACTGGTTCTCTTAACTGTTTTGTAACAGTTGCCCGCCAATATGAAGTTGAAGTTCTCTACTATTAAGGACGACACACTTCTAAGAAAGAAAAAAGGAAAGGGAGTAGAGAGTGAAACTGTGTCTGAGATTGTCAAGCCTGATGAGCCACCTAAAGAGATTCGTCTGGCTACACTAGATATTTTTGCTGGTTGTGGTGGCTTGTCTCAGGGACTGAAAAAGGCGGGTATGTATTATCTCCAGTCAACTCTTAATCTTCCAAAATGCTTGAATAAGTTGTATTAATATTCATGCTATATGTAAAAGGTGTATCTGATACAAAATGGGCGATTGAGTATGAAGAGCCAGCTGGGCAGGCTTTTAAACAAAACCATCCTGAGTCAACAGTTTTCGTTGACAACTGCAATGTGATTCTTAGGTAAAAAGCCAACAAGTTAAACGCGGACTCTTTTAGTGAATATTTTTTGCATTGTGATCAGTTGTTGAGATTAATTGCAGGGCTATAATGGAGAAAGGTGGAGATCAAGATGATTGTGTCTCTACTACAGAGGCAAATGAACTAGCAGCTAAACTTGCTGAGGACCAGAAGAGTACTCTGCCACTGCCTGGTCAAGTGGACTTCATCAATGGAGGACCTCCATGTCAGGTATATATTTGAGATTGTTGCTATACTTGTGTAAAATTTTCGTTGAATAAGTGAAAAGCTCCTTAACCTGTGCAATTTGGCAGGGGTTTTCTGGCATGAACAGGTTCAACCAAAGCTCTTGGAGTAAAGTTCAGTGTGAAATGATATTAGCATTCTTGTCATTTGCTGATTATTTCCGGCCAAGGTATTTTCTTCTGGAGAACGTGAGGACCTTTGTGTCATTCAATAAAGGGCAGACCTTTCAGCTTACTTTGGCTTCCCTTCTTGAAATGGGTTACCAGGTAAAATCCTAACGCTATCAAATTGATTGCTCTTTAGTAGAAGTTGGCATGCTATGTGAGCAATTGTTTTGCGAAATAGAGAAATTGACTTCAATCTGTTTAATATGATGTTTTCCAGGTGAGATTTGGAATCCTGGAGGCAGGTGCATATGGAGTATCCCAATCTCGTAAAAGAGCTTTCATTTGGGCAGCTGCACCAGAAGAAGTTCTCCCAGAATGGCCTGAGCCAATGCATGTCTTTGGTGTTCCAAAGTTGAAAATCTCGCTATCTCAAGGTTTACATTATGCTGCTGTTCGTAGTACTGCACTTGGTGCCCCTTTCCGCCCAATCACCGTGCGAGACACAATTGGCGATCTTCCATCTGTAGAAAACGGAGAATCCATGACAAACAAAGAGGTATGATAACACATCAGGAGGAAATATCTATACATACATATTTGTTGAACACAATGACGTGAACCCATTTGACTTTTTTGTGTGGGGAAAATTCTTGTGTCTTGCAGTATAAAGATGTTGCAGTCTCATGGTTCCAAAAGGAGATAAGAGGAAACATGATTGCTCTCACTGATCATATCTGCAAGGCTATGAATCAACTAAACCTCATTCGATGCCAGCACATCCCAAAGAGGCCCGGGGCTGATTGGCATGACTTGCCAAACGAAAAGGTCAGTCTTATACATCCTGCTTCAGAAATTCCTTTGTCAGTTCGACTACGGGGAATCAACCTAAATCGCTTTGTTTTACTATTACAGGTTAAGTTATCTAATGGGCACGTAGAAGAAATGATTCCTTGGTGTCTGCCAAACACAGCTAAGCGCCACAACGGGTGGAAGGGACTATTTGGGAGGTTAGACTGGCAAGGCAACTTTCCGACTTCCATCACCGATCCTCAGCCCATGGGTAAGGTGGGAATGTGCTTCCATCCTGACCAGGACAGAATTCTCACTGTCCGTGAATGCGCCCGATCTCAGGTAATAAAAACTCTTCTTTTCCCAGTCAGTCCTCTAGCATTCGTGGTATGGAACGATTTTCGGATCTGAGTAATGTTAGTTTTATCGATATGGCCTCTTAAGTGAAATAGTGGTTAAGTTAAACTGTGGTTTATGAAACTGCAGGGGTTTCCGGATAGCTACGAGTTTGCAGGGAACATTATACATAAGCATAGGCAGATTGGGAATGCAGTACCTCCACCATTGGCGTTTGCTCTCGGTCGTAAGCTCAAAGAAGCCCTACTTCTCAAGAAGTCTCCTCAACACCAACCCTAAATAACACCCAATTTGCCATTTCCTTTTTTTAATATTATTAGTCATTATGATCCTTATCTTGAGTGAAACTCAATAGTTATTGGTGCTGATACTCGTTGATAAAGCCTAAGAAGCAGTTTTTGTATATTCCACATTTCGGATTGATAAAAACTTATTATATCCTTTGGGTCTCGATTATGTTTGTCACTCAAGCAAGCAATGGACTATGATTTATTTGCCTTGTGAATTGGGTAAAAGACTCGTGAAAATGCAAACAAAGGAGAGACAGATTCAATATATTGCGTCTAAAAAAAGTTTGTCCAACTTTTATAAAAGAATTGAACTTAAATTTTTCCACATGCTTTTATGTTATCAATAAATCAACCAAAATCTTACAATTGTAATTAATACACTTACAAAATAATTGTACTGTATATCAATTTAGAGTTTAGACTCTTGATAAATGTATTCAACATATAAAAAATTAGGTAATTAAAAACTCCTAAAACAGTTAATAATCATCTCTCAATCAAACAACGATTGACTACGGCTCGCGGGTTCAATGAATGTTGTGGGATCAGTTGGTATTCGGTGCTTCTCATGTGACTACGGCTCGCGAGTTCGAGTCCCTAATTTTGCAAAAAAATTTAAAACTTTGAGAACACATATCAAAATGACGTCGTTTCGATATGCACCGTAACGGAGTTGACTAACAGCCGTTAGATTGACTCCGATTTTTGCACGTTGTATCAAGTATAGGGTATGAGATTCAGATTTTATTGAAGTTTAGGGTTGTAAAATACCCTACAAAATTGTTCAGGTATGAAAATCCACGGCGCAGATAGTACGGGTATGAAAACGACGTCGTTTTGATATACGTCAGCGTACACGTGTACGATGACTCAGCACCGTAACGAAGTTGACTAACACCCATTAAATTGACTCTGATTTTTGCACATTGTATCAAGTATAGGTATGAGATTCAAATTTTATTGAAGTTTAGGTTGTAAAATACCCTACGAAATTGTTCAGGTATGAAAATCCACGGTGCAGATAGTACGGGTATGAAAATCCCCTTTTCCCCAGTCACACTCTTATGTAATGGACTCATCATATCCTATAAAACAATTGGGCCCATTAGGCTCACAAACCAAATCTAAACTTATCTTGCAAATAAACTATAACCACACCTCCCAAAACAAATCTTAATATCTTTTCCTTTTATGATCCTATAAAAACTTTATAAAAGGATAATTCTGCAAATTGATGTTTTTATTCACGTGACCAAGTAAATAGGACCGGACATAGAAGAAGTGGTAGTGATCCTCTGTTGTCGCTCCATAGTAAGCTCCCGTAGACTCAAATACTGAACCGCCGATCTCGTCGTCATCGGCCGGTATGGTGTAGTCGAACCGCTCCAGCTCTCCGTCACGTAAACCGGACCCGATATCGAACCGGCACGAAAATTCCTAGCTCTAGCAATATGAACATCACTACTATCGTCGAACTCATTGTCTCCGTCATTTTCGCCAGAGCATCGTCCAACGACGGCGAAGACTGGCCAATTCCTCCACTTCAAGAAGAACAAAGCGTTCTTGCACCATAACCAACGCTTCTTGTTCTTGTTCTTCTTGTGGAGAGTGGTTCGGATCAAATCATCTTTCGAGATAGGTTTTTGAAGCTTGAACTGAAATGTGTCAATGGAAGAAGACTTGTGCTTCTTTGCTTCTTCCAAAACCTTAGGATATACAAAAACAAAAACAGAGTTAGCTTTATATCGAAACCCTAAGAACAATGTGGAAGAAGAAGAGAACCTGAAAGTAGTGGATCTGGGGATCGAAGCCATAATCGCTAAAATGTTGAGATTGGAGCATTGGGAAAATAGGAGATTTGTTTTGGTTAGACATTGGTGAAATGAGTTTAGTATTTGAGTGTTCCAAGAGAAAAGGTGTTTTAGTGTTAGTGTTTGGTTGATTCAATGCTTCTTCACCCTCTTGTCTCTTTCTACCTTCTTTTTCGGTTAGTCTATATGACTATATCTCAAATAGACAAATACTTTTTCAAGCTATATTTATTTTTAAAAATGAAGACCCGTATATAAAAAAAGAGAGTAGAATTTGTATTCTGTAACCGATCACATGGGAATGGTTTCTTATTATTATACAAAAACATTGTCGTAATTTTGACGATTTTTTTTTTTTTTTTTTGCTTTTATATGACCCACTAGAAACAGAAAGTAATACTATATATCTTTTGTTTTGAAAATCTCAAGATCCATATTGAACATTTAATAGTACCAAGGAATTTGCATGGGTCCTTCTCATCATTTATTCTCCCATACATTTACTATGCTTATGTATTTAACCAGTAAGAATTTGAGATGACTTCCACAAAAAGCATATGACTTTTTTTACACAAGACTTTACTCCAAACGAGTGGTTATTTAATACAAGGGCTAGACGAAAATTCAGGATGCTAGAACTTCTAATTAAATGGTTCTTTTATTGTTTTAATACTTTTATTAAAGATTTTTATATTCTTAGTGGTTCTCTAAAGTAATATAGTTACATTGATTTAATTAGTGGAATGTTACACAGCATCTAGGACTTCATCTGCTGAGATTGGAGCATTGGGAAAATAGGGTATTTGTTGTTAGACATTGGTTAGGGGTTCCAAGAGAAAAGGTGTTTTGCTTGGTTCAATGCTCTCTTCAGTCTTTACTCTCTTGTCACTTTCCACCTTCTTTTTCGGTTAGTCCATTCCCAAATACTTTCAAACTCAATCTTTAATAATGGACACCCGTAAATAAATAAATAAACTAGAATCTGTATTTTATAACCGATCATATGTAAATGAATTTAACTTTTTCTTAAGTTTGACGACGTTTTCAGTTTTTTTTTTTTTTTTTTTTTTGGCATCCAGACTTTTTAAAAGTTCTGTACGTCACATTGAAACTAATGAACCCAAACATAATAACACAAATTCAATATTAAAATGAATCAAAATCTCTTTTAAATGGTGGAAATATATACACTAAATTTTAAATAAAGAATCCAAATATAATATTTTAAATTTATTTCTAATTTATTTTGGTTGAATAATTTTTATATAAAAATTGTGATATTATTGAAAAAAATAAACTAGTGATAATAATTTTAGAACAAAAACTTAATAGTGAATTAACTAATGCTATTTTTGGAAGTTTATGGAGTGTGTGCTATAATTGTCCATAAAACTTGTTTTAGTGCTATTTTAGTGAATTTCTTTTAAAGGTTCAAGATATTTAGTTTGGTAAGTTTAGTTAATAAGAATAAGTAGTATATGAACTAAAAGTGTTTGGCAAAATAGATAGTAGAATTAAATAAATGAAAAATAAAAAAGATGAGAATAATTGTGAGCTTGACACATAAGCACCAAAAACTCTCTTTTCATGTGTAGAGGATATTTTATTAAAAAATCAACTAGGTTATTAACCCCCGCTATGCGGGGGTTTGTAGTTATCGATTGATTTAATATATTTTTGGTTTTAGTATTTATTTAAGTAGCTATACATTGACATTACTAATACAAAAATACTATAATGTTTATTATTTATTCTTTTTTAACATAAATATTCTTATTTATATTTATAGTATCATTTACGTTATTTAAAATTTTTGTTTTAATAAGAAAAAAAAGTTTATTGGATAAAATTTGGTTTAAAATATATTACAAATATGATGTGTCATTATCTCTTACTTGTTTTATACTATTAAATATTTTGCTATTAGTAAAGCAATTATAATATTTTGACAATGATCTCATTCATCCTAAGAAGACCATCTGAGCATCTATTATACAAAAATGGCTCATCCCAACACAATGAGAAACCTCGCCATAAAGTTTCAGTTACATATGAACAAAACGTTGCCATAAAGAGGTCATGTCATAACTGTTTTCTCACTTTCTTCCATATTGATAATCCAAGTTTGTCTTCTGGTGTCAACCGCGTTTCTCTCTTTCTCTTTCATTTTTTACATAGAGATCAACCCTCTTTGTTATCTAAATTCTGACGTCAATTGTTCATAATGCAAGGAAACTGATCTCATCAATTAAATTTATTATCTTTCTTACGTCTTACTAATTCATGTTTTTGATTACTAATTCATGTTTTTTATTGAAATTGCTACTCTAAGAAGAACAACTTTTTCCATAATTTCAACACAAGTCTTCATACCTTTTTCCTGGTTAGATATCATTCAACTGAAGAAATATACAACCTAAGTTTCAAAAAGAACCACGCAATAAGTTATCTCATTAGCGATAGATATCTTTCACAATATTGGCTTAGACACTTTTCCCAAGAGAGCTTCCTTGCACGGTCTTACATATATGTTCCTCAACTCTCACCGCAACCACCACTTTCCTAGATTTATTGTTGTATGGGACTAATTTCGACGACTTTCTCATTTTGGTATACGCAAATTCACTATTGTTCTTCGTCTATCTTCACTGTATTGGTTAGTGTAGCTCTTCAAAATATAAGATTCTATACAGAAGTGTAATCATAAGCTTATGTACACTTTATTTATAACAATTCATATTTTTCACATTCTTTTCAATATGTATATTAATTTCCGTCTTCACAATTTTTTCCAGAGAGCTATCACTCTTTCTATCTTTTTGCAAGCACTCATTTCCTTTGTTTCATTCTCTATTCCATTAGCACATCTACCATTCACAAACTTAGCCAGACTCTTTCGGTTCTACTCTTACCAAAATAATAAAAACTACTCTCAGTCTCAAATGACAAACAATCTGACAAACAGAAGCATAATATATTAGGTGGTGGTGCAGACATGCAAGTAATAAAGTTGTTGATCTCTATGAGATATATTAGGTGGTGGTGCAGACACCTAATGTGTGATTCACTCGGCATTAGGTGTGGATGTAATGCCGAGTGAATCACACACACACACAAAACGATCGTAACAATCGATGATGAGAGGAAAAAAAATCATAATATATATATTAACATTTTAGTATAAAAGTATGGTTATGATTTATGAGCGACAAAAGCAAAGATAACTATATTAAATTGTGAGTATGAGAAAAAAAAATAGAAGTCCAAATATTGCTACAAGTGGCAAAAGCGATGAAAAAAATATAATATGCGCCATTAAGAGTATTAGACTGTGAGCTTCCAACTCAAAATCACTTGGCTATGATTGGAGAGGCCCATATCTTATATATACCACTTAAGATCATGCTCAACTTCCAGTGTGGATATTGTTATCTCTTATACGCCCGTTCGAGATGATGGATCTTTTACCCATTGATCTCGGTATGTTTGGGCATGGATCGGCGGACCAATTATTTTGTCAGGCCGATGTGGATTTGGTTGAACATGTGTGGATCGGGCTCTGATACCATATTAAACTTTGGGCTTCGAACTCAAAACCAATTGGGTATGAGTGGAGAGGTCCATATCTTATATATACGTACCACTTAAGATTCTATTCAACTTCCAATGTGGGCTATTGTTATCCCTAATAAAGAGTAGTAACCAACCCTAACTGTGACCGACGATTCAAATTATACAAATTATAAAATGTGATAGAATAGGATGCCTCCGGTTATTATTTATAATGAAAAGATCTAGGGTTAATCGAATATAGTTTTTGTTAATATTATTTTTTTTTGTTGGAAAATAAGAAACTTAACAAAATAAGAATATAAGTTTGATGTATTCCACATATTGTTTTTTCAAAAATTTACATTTCTTTTTTTCTATATATTGCTTTTTTTTTATTTCCATATGTTTTTTAAACATTTACATTTCTATTCTTTTCATATATATATTGTATAAAATATAATTTAAAAATGTTAATTAACGTGATGTCAAATAATGTTAATTAACTATGACTAATTGCGATTGGTCGTTTAGAAAATATGACAATATAATCAAATTTGTGAGACTAATATGAACTATTTTATGTATTATAATAACAATTTTTATAAACATCTTGCTTTAATATATTGTCATATTTCTTCCTATCTATAAATACTTTTAAATAAAAGTCATAAATTCATACATATAATTAACAATATCCATACAAGGAAACAATTTGAAAGCTACATAAATTTTAGGATCAATAATACCTTGTAATTGCTTTAAAAGTCACAATGGAATGAATCTAGACTCGATTCGATCATTAGTGTAACCTGAAATATAAATCAAACAGTCTAAAATCAGCAAAATTAAACAATATTTGTTTATAGTTCATAGAAAAATATAAAACAAAATATGTAAGATGAGAAAAAAAAAATCAAAGCCACATAATAGTAAATTCGTTTATAACTGAAAACTAATTGTGTGGTCGAGGTTCATTATTTATAGTTTAATGTCTAGGGCAAACCGTCATAATTACCTTATGTAGTTTTACATTTTTTAATTAGAAAATTTCCAAATAAAAAATATATTCGCTGCATAATAATATTGAAATCTATACTTTACATTTTTCTTATTTCTATATTTTATTATTTCAAAAATTTATATATTTCTTTTTTTCCATATATTATTTTTCTTTTTCTTTTTATTAATATTTAAGTATAGAAAATATTAGAATTTAAAAATGTTAATTAACGTGGTGTGTAAAAATGTTAACTGACGAAGTGTCCAACCGCGATTAGTCGTTTAAAATTCTATGTGGACAGCTTGAGAAGCTTATAGCTTCGACTTTTATATAGTATAGACTAGGTTATTAACCCCCGCTACGTGGGGGTTTGTTGTTAACGATTGTTTAAATACATTTTTGGGGTTAGTAATTTAAGTAGCTATAGATTGACATTAACACAAATTTTCTTTTATTTATATTATTACTATCATTTATGTTATTTAAAGTTTTGTTTTAATATATAAAAAAGAAAAAAGTTTATATGATAAAATTTGGTGTAAAACATATTACAAAAATGATGTGTGATTTTCTCTCATTTTTTATATTATTAAAGATTTTTCTATTGGTATAGCAATTATATAAAATATTAGAAATTAAACTACCATAATATGTACACATTTAGGCATATATGTATTTCTTTTATCTATTATAGTAAAATGTTTTTGCTATTAATCAAACAATTATATAGTAATATCCTTGACTAAAAATCCGGGTTGACACCTCTCCATTTTTACCTTTAACTGCAAGAACTGATTTGATTTTAGTGATAATTCGAGAGATTTTTCAAGGTTTGGGAAAACTGTGATGTCCCAAAAAATCCATGTGTACCGCTGCAAAAAAAGCAAATCGTGACAGAGTAAATTTAATCAAAGACATAAAATTTCAAAAAAGACATATCTTACAAAGAAATTTTGAGTTGGCCGAAAACATGGTAGCTATCTAAAATTCAAAAAAATTAGAGGCGTATATAGAGAGAGACGTGGCTGCTGATGAGAAGCACGATTCTGTATCGTTCTCTCAGCTTGAATTCGTCGATTTCAGACTCGTATCGCGACATTATAGTCGAAATCTCAAGCATCTCGCAATCTCCTATTCCAAATCTTCATCTGCAAATTCTCCGATCGAGTCTTTGCATATATTCACCTCTCTCGCAATCTCATGTTCCATTATCAGTTTTAAATGACTATTTATACTAAAACACAACTTTAGAATTTAGAAACTTTTCTATTTTCATTTTTGCTACTAATTAAATGGAAAATTTTCTTTTGTTTTAAACCAAAATTTCTTCGACCATCGCAAACTTGTTTTTCGTTTGTGTTGTTAGTTCAATATATTTCCATTTTGTTGTTTAGTCATATTGTTCCTCATGTTGTAGTAGTATTTATCTTTTTTTACTATAAACTAAAACGCAGAAATTTTTCTACTAACATTAATATTTTTATGGTTTTTAAAACTTTGAAAATTTTCCTTTAGAATATCTTTGAACGATTTAACATATATAATTTTTTTACAATTATTTTTTTTTAGAATTTAACATATAACCTCATAACCATATTAACATATAATCATGTGCATGAGATAATTTCGCATTTAAAATTTAGCAAATTGTCATATTATTAGATATATGTTACCACGTTTTTGGGATTGTAATATTTTAGTTATTGATGATTATGTATAGTTAGGAATGAAACCACTACCCTATAAGTTACAATTAACAATTTTTTAATATATTATTAAGTTAATATTTTTTCTTATATAAATTATGTCATAATTTTCTTATTTTCTAAACTTTCTCACGTTAATTAACTATATTATTTTTGAATTAGGAAAATTTCCTAATTTATGTGGAAGCTAATGTTATGAGACTAATAATTATATTTTATTTTGTATTATATTTCAATAATTAAATTTTACATTTTTTAATTTACATATGTCGTGTTTCAAAAGTTTACATTTCTATTATTTAAGTCTATGCAATAATCGAGTACGATCAATATAGTTATGATTCTTGAATGAGAGTCCAATACTATAAATTGAATCGAGAGCATATATAGAACCATAGAAAATGATTTACATAACAATAAACTGTGATCTTGCAGAAATCCTTTATAAAAAATTTAGTAACCTTCTCGGTCTCACCTCACACTTCATCTTTAACGTGGTAACTCGAAACGACACAATGGATATGTGGATGTCGGATTCACACACTCAAGTATTTTTATTAATAGGGAAGATTATTCTTGAGGGACAAAAAATAGGAATGTAAAAAGCTTATGAATTGCTACGAAAATTGCTATAGTATTTCTTGCTCGAAGGAAAGATCCCCTTTACATGGCCATTGACCTCTATACTTATACATAAAAAAAAAACGACATTTAAGTGGCTAATTAAGTACAATTATTCCCTCTTAAATGTGTCCGTTTTGATCTTTGCTTTTAATGCTTAACGCTTGAATTTGAATTGATTTTGATCTTTATGGGCCTCGCCTTTTGGTCCAAATGTCCTTGGACTGACTTAACCATGACTTCGTCTCCGGGCTCGTGTCGTGGTGCAGTCACTTCGGATTCTTCTTACGGTGATAACCACTTCGACTGTTCTTTTGACTTGTGGGTATAATTGCTTTATCCTTTATGGGCCGTTATCCTGACTACGTGGCAATCTTTGGTTGGTCCTGGACCTTTGGTGCGGGATCCGACACCAACAATTAGCCCCCCAAGTTCTTCGAAGTGCCATTCCAATTCGGAGGACTTTAAATGCTTAAATGACCAAAGATTGCGCTCGAGAATCTTTCTGATTTTCCCGCCAAAAATCTCATCACTCCTTTAATTTCGGCACTAGCCATTTTTAACCGAATGACATCTGTCATCATTATGACCGTATATTAATTAATTACTATTAAAACGGGAAAAAACCTTCCCACTCCCCACACAACTTCCGAGGCGGTTCCATCATTTAGCTTGTGTAAGGTAACTTCTTTTCATCATCATTTTCTACTTTTACGCTTTAATCGAAACTCCTCTCTTCTCTTTCCTCGCCGATTTTCTCTTTGCCAAAACTTGAATTTTTCATTCCTCCCAATGACTTCTGATTCCGATAGACCCGAGTCTCCGTCTTTCGATGAGAGGCGTTCTAGTAATGATGAATGCACCCGCCCTAATGATATTGCTGTTCCGCACTACAGAACCACCTGCACCCTTCAATCTCTCGAACGATTGAGGGAGCTCTGCCGAATTCCACCGGGAATTATGGCGGAGGCGCAGATAGCCGATCCCACAAAGTCCCCATAAAGCCACCGCGACGGCTATTTCTGTGTATATGAGATCTATTTTAAAGGTTGCGGGCTGACCTTTCCCCTTCCCGAAGCCCTAGTTCGATACCTAGCGGCTCTTGAAATCGCTCTTCCTCAACTAACTCCCAATCTTCTTCGAACTATTCTCGGAATTATAACAATCGCGGCGGAGGCCGGATATGTTATCGGAGTCGCTGAACTAAACGAGCTTCTAAGCGTAAGAAGTTCATCAAAGAAAACAGGGTATTTCTCAGCGTATCCGAACGCCAATAGAAACATCATTTCGCACCTTCCGAACAAGGATGAAAATTGGCACCATCCTTGGTTTCTGATTAAAAAAACTCCCGCTTCGATTGGAAATCTTGCAGATTTACTCCCATCAAAGTGGTCTGCGAAGCCTGGTAGAGATTAGGTCGCATATATCTTTTCTGGTTGTTTTATTATCTTTATTGACTAAAACCGTTGTTTCATTTCGCAGCTTTCGTCGCTTCCACTCTCCCATCTGAAGAGTTCATCGAATTCTTCAAAATAATTCTCGAAGGGGAAACCCTTTGGAATTCTTTCACTCTTGAACGATTCCTAGAAGCTAACCACAGACTCAGGATGAGTCCTCCGGGTCAACTTCACCAACTTCCGCCTCCTCCCTCAACTCAGGGGATGTCGTCTCGGGCCCTTGCGGCCAAGCGTAAGGTGCTTTCCAAACCGATAGCTGAGGCTTGTGAGGAGAAGAAAAAGTTTCTTGCGGCTTCTATAGATAAGAAGGACTATAGTAGGACCTTGCTGGTTGATGATGGCAGCACCGAAGGAGCCAGATCCGTCGCTTCTTTCAGATTAACTCCTCGTCGCGATCGTCGTGACGCACGTTCTCCTCGGAGGGACCGATCTCCTCGCCGCGATCTACTTTCAGAGATGATTTTAGTAATGACCCTCTTAAGAACTTGGTTCGCAGGAAGAGAGACAAGTCCTCTCGTAGTGATTCTTCCCCGCAAAGGGAGAAGTCAAGGGCCCGGACTAACCGTTCACCTCGATCATCCCCTCCTACTGAA